CCCAGGTTTGGCAGATAAGCTGACAGCTCAAATCCCAAGAACGGGAGATGAGACAACAGGAAACAGCCACAGGATCCAGAGAGAGCAAAAAGCCAGAACGTCTGCTTATATACAGATGCAGGCCACACCCCCAAGGAGGCTCCCTTTCATCTGATTGGCCTCTCACAGTATATTCAATCATGAGAGTGATTACATTAAAACACGGAGAATCATGGCCCAGCCAAGTTGACACACAATCTTAACCATCACAGCTACCATTACTGGATGTTTTGATGAATATTCTGTAGAAGAATCCTGATCAAAAGGGAGAAAATACAGACAGAATTCCAAATTCTCGTGGAATCCAGATTTTCTGGAGCCATGGAGTCTAGGTGAACCCCAAAACATTGCCCTGAGATAATCTTTTAAACTTAAACCAAAAATATCCCCTGAAATCGTCTTAAAATCAAAGGATAGTTCAGCTTAACTGGTAATAAAAAGTCTGCCTTGAGCATTAAGCTTTTTAAAGAAATATCTATATGGAATCGAAGTGACAACATCAACTCAAAAGATTAGAAACTTTCGGTGGCAGTGAATTTATGTTAATGGGGGAGGAACAACTCAGAAAAGGAGGGTGAGACTGGTTGTACAACTTGAAGAATGTAATCAATGTCACTGATTTGTACATGCATAAACTGTTGAATTGGTGTATGTTCTGCTCTGTATATTATCAATAACAACAAAAATAAAATAAATTAAAAAAAATGAGAATAGGGTGCCCAGGCTGGTGGTAGAAATGTCTATGAACCTGGTTCGGTTCCAAAGAAGCAGGAGATGAGGCCAAATGAAAAAAACTCACAGATAAGCTGAATTTATACCCAGCAAAAGCCTACTGCAAACACGTTATTCTTTTTTAAAAAAATTTATTTTGTTCTAAAAATAAAACTACCATATGACCCAGCAATTCCACTTCTAGGTATATACTCAAAACACTTGAAATCAGAGACTTGTACGCCAATGTTCATTACAGCACTATTCACAATAGCCAAAAGGTGGAAACAACCTAAATGTCCATCGACATATAAATGGATGAACAAAATGGAATACTACTCAGTAGGAGAAATGAAGTCTTGATACATGCTACAATATAGATGGGGATGGAAGACTTCGCGCTGAGTAAAATAAGCCAATCACAAAAGAATGAATATTGTATGACCTCTCTTATATAAAAAGAAAAGAAAATGAAAATGTATAGAGAGCAAAACTTATTAGTGGTTACCAGGGGTGAGAGGGAGGAGGAAAGGGGGGGTTAACAGTGATGGAAATATCACATTGATTAAGGGTAGGGTTGCACAGCCCATTAGTATAATTGCTGTCAATAAACTGTACACTTGTAAAAAGTTGAATTGGCAAAAGTTGTGTGATAGATATATTTACAACAACGACCAAAAAAAAAAAAAAAAAAAAAGTAGCTGCTGAGGCTGCTTATATATAACCAAAAACCTTATGGGATTTTGTTTCTTAATTTGGATGTTTAGGGTCATGGTCTCATGGAACATCTCAGTTAATTGGCCTAACAGCATGTTTAGTGCTTCTGTTCTACCTCCTAGTTCATTGCATAATGCCTGGGGTCTTAAAAGCTTGCAAGCGGCCATCCAAGTCACAACAATTGGTCTCTACCTGGAGCAACAGAGGAAGAAGGAGAGTCAGGAATAGGAGGAAGATAAGGAATGTGTGGCTAATTGCCTCCATGAACAAGTACCTCTTTTGCCACAAGACCAGAAGAACTGGATGGTACCCAGCTACCATTACTGAACATTTTGATCAAAGAATCTATAGAAGAATCCTAATCAAAAGGGGGAAAATGCACTGCAGAATTTCAAATTCTCAGGGACTCCAGGCTTCCTGGAGCCATGAAGGTTGGATGAACCCTGAAACTATTGCCCTGACATAATCTTTAAACCTTAAACCAAAAAATCCCCTGAAGTCTTCTTAAAATCAAACAATAATTTAGCCTAACTAGTAAAAAAGTATCTGCCTCGAGCTTAAGCTTTTTTAAGAACTATCTATATGGGATCAAAGTGACAACATCCACTCAAAAGATTAGATAAAAACCTTAGATGGCCGTGAATTTATGTTAATGGAGGAGGAATAACTCAGAAAAGGTGATAATGCTTGTACAACTCTAAGTGGAATCAATGCCACTAAATGGAGAAACTGCTGAATTGGTGTATGTTTTGCTGTGTATATTCTCAACAAAAAAATTTTCACCAAAAAAAAATGTCCTCAAGAAAGGAGAGTGTTGACATGTAGTGAGTTTGTTAACCAATGCCATAAAACAATATGTGTACTGACTGTTTAATGAGAAACTATTTGTTCTGTAGATCTTCATCTAAAGTACAATAAAAAATTTAAAAAAAAAAGAATAGATTTCGTAAGCAAAATAAACAGAAAAATATAACTGAAGGTAAGATCTTATTTACAATAACTGCAAAGAAAGTAAAATACCTGGGATTAAAGTTTAAAAATCATTTTACTATAGGAAATTTCAAACACACAAAAATAATAGAGCAATAATTAACCCTTACATACCTATCAAGAAGTGTCAACAATTATGAAAGGAGAACCAAACATGTTTCACTTCCACAGCTACCCTCAGATTATTTTTAAGCAAATGTATGAAATTATATTATTTCATTCTTAAATATTTCAAGACTTATATTGAAAAGATAAAAACATAGATTCTATGGAACATAAGATCCATCATAGGAGAGGGAAAAAGAATTTCCAGAATAAGAACTTTATAACAGGTATAGTGGGAAAATGTCTAGCCTGGAAAGGAAAAGACAGCTGGCAAAGAGTTGAACACTTGAAAAATAATTGTAAGTATTTGATTAGTTCGAGCATTTTGAAAAATTAGTGATAGGTACATATAAAAATAAGTAACTTTAAAAAACTGAAGGCAATCATTAACCTCAGGAAAAACAAAAAGTTTCTAATAAAGGAAATGTAATTACAGTACTCATCAGCTGTGAACAATAAACAGCTCAGTCATTATAATAATGTAAATATTGACTATTGATTTAAAATCATGGTATTAAAAAGATGGATGAAAGAAGGTGTATGGGTAGAGGATGAAAACCTAATTCTCAACCATTGTAACAGGATATAGATATTTAATGTTCAAATTTGATATATTAAGAAATGGCAGTATATTATTTATATGGAAGTAGACAATAGGAGAAACAGTTAAAAATAGGGTGATACTTGTCCTTGGTAATTGGGACTGCCTGTGGGGAGAGACATGGCTCAGGGCCACAATTCATCATGATAATCCTTTTAATCATAATTGATTTTAAAACCATAATTATATATTGCCTTGATTAAAAATCAAAAAAGAAGTAAGACAAAGACATACTCACCTGGAATATTGTTAAGTGTAATCCAGAAATGTTCATCTGGACAGTATGTATCTTTGGACCACTGGAATAACTCAATGGCTATTTTATTAAAAAGAGCAAATTGAACAAATTCCTTTGTTAGGGCAACGTAAGCTGAACCAAAGTGGATTTTAAGCTGATTTGGAGGTGAGTTCTTCTTTTTACGTTTCTTTAGGATTAAAGACTGTGTTCTGGTTCTATGCTCTACATGGACGTATTTGATTCTTTCAGCAGATTTCTGAATGGACACTAAACGAGGGGTAACGTTTTTCCCCTTCAGTGTTTTCAAATACTGAACTATCTCCTTATTCGTTTTTAGGGGGAAATCGTTATCACGCATATTAATGAGGTATCTCCAGTTCACATCTGAAGCTAGAAGATCTCTCATGCAGATCATTTCAGCCCGGAGTCTGGATATTCCCCCATAAATGATATACTCAGACTTTGAGGCTATAAAAGCATTTGGGAAGCACTCGATTAATTGTTCCACATCAAGTTTAAATTTATTTGAAGCCTTTTGATCTAGGTGAATACAGTAGACATTTTGAGGCATGTAAATAGCTCGGAAGAGTCGTTCAAATGTATCAAAATCATGACCAATGGTCATTACATATGCCAAAGGGAATGCAGCTTCTTCTATAGACAAAGGAGCTGTGATATAGTGGTTTTCTGTCACATAGTAAGGGCAATGATCTATTCCAAACGTTGTAGATAATGCGTTTGTCAACGTACCCACTGTCTTCTCATCCAGGGCTGCACTGCAGGCTTGTGATAAGGAAAGGGTTTGGTCTTTACCATCTATGTCCTCCGTTAGACCCATGTTTGGTTGATGTTCTTGAATGTTGTACAATACTGTGACCATGATTATAATCTGAGTAGTGATGATACAAAGATAGTATCTCCAAAACTTCATTTTTGTTTTTGACTCCTTGGAGTAGGAATACAGGTATAGAATCCTTCTTTAAGGTTTAAAAAAAAAAAATCAATTCCCCAAATATTTCACTTCTTTAGAAGTATCTAGATTTTGGCCAGGCTATCAGTTGCACTTGCCTTTCCAGATCCAGTCTGCCTATTTTTCTCCTGTATTTTGATTCCAGGCCATTCTCTGGTTGAGCATCATTTTGCAATACTTCTAAGTTCTTGCTCTGAGTATATTCTGACCTTTTTTTTTTGGCAGTACATTCACATACAGTCCGAGTTACCAAGGCCACTCAATGCTACACACCCTTCCTTTCTCTCTTAGCTGGCTCTTTGTAACTGGGGAGGTGGGGGAGGGGGTTAATTCCTGTTGCCTGTTTCTATTGTTGAATCAGCTAATCTGTCATAATTGTGTCTAGTTACATACCTCTCTGTACCTTCTCCTCTTTGGCTAACTTCCTGAGTATGCCCATCTGAGTATCTTCTAGCAATTTGCCATCTAGCTTTCACTCTCAACCATTTAAGAAGGAGAATCCTTCCAGATTTCTGTCCTCTCAAAAGAAGTTAGAGTGCTCCATTATACAGGGCCTGGTCTTAATGGGTTTTTATCTAAAGTCCTCAGCATGGTGCCTGGTCCATTTGGGCACTCAGTAGAGCCTTCTGAATGAAAAATTGAGTGGAGTGACACATTCTCCTCATTCATTTAGCTTTGAAGGGTCCCTGGCAAATTAAATATATAGAATCTCCTTGTAACCTGCTGTGGATTTTGGAAGACTGAGATTAAGTTTTAATATTATGATACATCACTCATATATAGCAATAATTTGTATTATTCACACACTTTTAAGCTATTCACAGGTAGACTCATATGTCCTCATATATCCAGAATCATTGGAGAATATATTACCCGTTAGTGAGTGTTCTAGATAATTCAGGCACGTTTCTTCACAAATAACTTTTAATTGTCAATAGTTTTACCAAAAAGTAGTATATTTTCTCTGCCTTTTTCAGTCAACTATACTAAAAATAACTGTTTCTTGATGACCTTCTAGAGTCACATAAGGAATATTATTTGATATTGTTAGAAGTTCTGCTCTGTAGCACACTCTACTTATTCTTTTCATTTGCAGCCACTTTTATTTCCTCTTTCTGCCTCCTGATACTTCTATGATAATGATGATAACAGTGACAACAACAGTGACAACAACAACAAATTCATTGAGTTATGCTTTACAAACACTACAAAACTGAATCCTCACAACCTCTCTATGAGGTGTTATCTCCCATTTTACAATGAAGAGACACATAGCTATGAAAGAATAAGTTCTACGAACTGCTGACCTTTGGGTTAGCAGCCGAATGCTTAACCACGTGTGCCACCAGGGCTCCCTGTCCAGGTCACACAACTGCTAAATGACAGAGGCAGAAGTCAAACCAGAGTCTTTCTGATTCCATTTTGTTGTTAGTTGCTATTGAGTTGGCTCCAACTCATGACGACTCCTCATACAACAGGATGAAACGTTGCCCAGTCCTTCTTCATGATTGTTGGTATGCTTGAGTCCACTGTCGCACTATTGTGTAGTGCCCTCTAGCCTTGGGGACTCATCTTCCAGCACTATGTTGGGCAATATTCTGTTGTGATCCATAGGGTTTTCATTGGCTAATTTTCAGAAGTAGCTCACCAAGCCTTTATTCTCTGTCTGTCTTAGTCTGGAAGCTCCCCTGAAACCTGCCCACCATGAGTGACCCTGCTGATCTTTGAAATACCGGTGGCATAGCTTCCAGCATCATAGCGGCACAGAAGCCACCACAGGATGACAAATTGAAAGACAGGTGGTGGGTTCTGATCCCATAGGCATCTTTAATATTACTTACTATGGGATGAGAAACCATAAACTAAACATGTTAGAACTTTAACTATTCAAGCTATTTTTTTTTTCTTTTAAAATCTAATCACCTTCCTCTTACCGTTTGGCTGATTTAGCTGGTTACACAAGTATCCGTGTGTCTGTCCAGTTTCTTGACTCTAGCATGTGAAATGCTAAGTAAGTAGATTCTGGATTGGTAAGGTGTTACTATACATGGGTATTTGGTTTTTGAACACTCTCAAACCGAGGCATATAAACATTAAATCTTTTCCCCATAACAATCACAGCCCCTAAATGTGCTGTTATAAATCTTCCTTTCCTTCCACATATCAGACTGCTTAATAGCACCTTGAACAGATTCCGTAACTCCCAAGTCACCTTCATTTATTAAAATACCTTCTCTTTAAATCTCCAATCTCATTTCAGTTTAAAGCTTTCCTCTACCCTCCCCCTGACCAGGTTCCTGGGTGGAGGGAAGCTTAAATGTGGGGAGACAGGTTTGTTCTTTAATTCCTCCTCACCCTCCCTCCCCTCTGAGTGTACAGTGGGAATAGGGGGCATGTGGTCTGTCTCTGGGACATTCCTGGACCTGCTCTCCTAGGGAGACACAGTTGAGTGTCTCTTACTTGTCTGGCTGCTGGTGAAACCCTTTGTTGGTTGTGGCTACTTTTCTTTCTCACACCACTGCCTGTGGAGGCCTACTGTATGGCAGGTCACCAACCAAACTCCCTTGGGGCCTGGAGTGTATTCTTGGGGAAGCCTAGCAACCTCCCAACTGCCCGAGTTCTGTGACCTTAGAGGTCTGGCCCTGGCTTAAACTCTTCCAGCCTCCCTCAGCAACTGACTGGGTCATCTTCTGGCCAGGTTGCAAGCCCTTTTGGGTAAAATTCAGGTAAAACTAATAAAGTCTAGTTTTCTTCCATTGTGTACCCTGGAGACCAGGTACTCTCACATGTCTCTGTCACACCCACCAGTTACTGCTCTTTTCTCTGCTTTGCCACCTCTCTCTGCCCCGCCAGCTCTCTGCACTTCTTTCCCCTGCTATCCCAGATGAAATGCAAAGCCACTAATTTACCCTCTGGGCAAAAACCTAACCAGCATAGAGCTGCCTTTCTTCCCTTTGTGCATACCCTCTTATTTTTCAAGTGATCCTCTTGGACCCCTCACTTGGCTTTGGGGTGGAGGGGTGGGGGCGGCCGTAGCATTCCCACTGGGCTGCTAATTCACGTCTATGATGATGCTCTCTCTCCCTCTTCAGTCTTAGACTTACACTGGGGAGAGGGAAATGGTTAGAGCAGGGGTTGACAGGCCAAATCAGGTCCACATAGCCTGTTTTTTTTTTTTTTAATTTTAGTTATTTTATTGTTGTTGAGAATATACACAGCAAAGCACACACCAATTCAACAGTTTCTACATGTACCATTTAGTGACACTGATTACATTCTGAGTTGTGCAACCATTCTCGCCCTCCTTTTCTGAGCTGCTCCTCCCCCATTAACATAAACTCCTTGTCCCTTAAGCTTCCTGTCTAATCTTTTGAGCTGCTATTGTCGCTTTGATCTTTTATAAACTGAAACCAAACCCATTGCCGTCAAGTCAATTCCGGCTCATAGCAACCCTATGGGATAGAGTAGAACTGCCCCATGGAGTTTCCAAGGAGCAGCTGGTGGATTTGAACCACCAACCTTTTGGTTAGCAGCCGAGCTCTTAATCTCTGGGCCACCAGGACTGTTTGATCCTATATAGATAGAGCTTAAAAGAGCATAATGCTCAAGGCAGACATTCTTTACAGTAAAACTTGTCATCCAGTTGATTCCTATTGTTTGGTTTTAAGAAGACTTCAGGGGATATTTTTAGTTTAAGGTTTAAAAATTATCTCAGGGCAGTAGTTTCAGGGGTTCACCCAGCCCCCATGGCTCCAGGAAGTCTGGAGTCCATGAGAATTTGAAATTCTGTTCTGCATTTCCCCCCTTTTCATCAGGATTCTTCTACAGAATCTTTGATGGTAGCCAGGCACCATCCAGTTCTGGTCTTGTGGCAAAGGAGGTAGCTGTTCATGGAGGCAATTAGCCACACATTCCATTTCCTTCTTTTATTCCTGACTCTTCTTCTTCCTCTGTTGCTACAGGTGAATAGAGATCAATTATTGTGCCTTGGATGGCTGCTTGCAAGCTTTAAGACCCCAGGCACTACGCAATGAACTAGGAGGTAGAATAGCAGTACTAAACATTTTACTAAGCCAATTAACTTCACTGCCTGTTTTTGTAAATAAAGTTTTATTGTAACACAGTTACACTCACATACTGTCTGTGACTGCTTCTGCTCCACAATAGCAGAGTTGAGTAGACACAACAGAAACTGTGTGATCCACAAAGACTAAAACATTTTCCATTTGATCCCTTACTGAAAAAGTTTGTTGACCCCTAGGTTAGAGAATCATGGTTGATTGTAGTAAGGTTGGTTTTACTCTCTCTTACTAATCTTTGGTGCAGATGTCTGACCCCAGTTATGTGGGACTTAACACCTCTTTGATCTCAGTTCTGGCTGTTTGTCACTAATTTCAGGACAAGGGGCTAAATCCCGTTCATTATCCTGCTACAATGACTTAGACACACACACACTCTCTTTCTCTTACACACACACACACACACACAAATATTTCCTCTACCTGAAGTTTGTCTCTGCGTGACAGTATTTTTGGTTCATAGACTAAAGTCAGTCATTTAAATAATATTAACTGAATCATTTATAACCATGATGCAATGTGACCTCCAGAGAGAGAGAACAAGAGAAATCAAAAGAGAATTAAAGAGAGGGAGCTATTTTCCATTCCATCTCTGAAGAAAATTATAATGTCTGAGATCACTGAATAACAAAGAACTAGCCTTTGACTTTGTTGATAGTCTTCATTTATGTTTGTTTTCTATTTCATTAATTTCTGCTGTCTTTGTAATTCCTGTTGTACTTTCTCTGGGTTTACTATGATACCCATTTTCTAACTTCCTGAGATGATGTTTAGCTCATTAACTTTCAGCTGTTCATCTTTTCTAATATCTTCATTTAATGCTATAAATTTTTTACTCAGCACTGCTTTAACTACAGCCACACAAATTTTATTTATATTATCAAAATATTCAAAGTATTTTCTAATTACTATAGTGAAGTCTTCTTTGACTTATGGGTTATTTCGAAATGTATTGTTTAATTTCCAAACATGAGGATCATCTAGTTACTTTAAAAAAATTGCTTGTTTAATTGCTTTTTTAGTCAGAATATATACTCTGTATAATTCCAATTCTTTGAAATTTGTTGATACTTGCTTTTTGACCTAAGGAGCACCAGTGGCACAGTAGTTAAGGCGCTTGGCTGCTAACTGAAAGGTCGGTGGTTTTGACCTAGTATGGGATTAATTAATGTAAATGTTTCAGGTGTGCTTGAAATGAAGGCTGTTGGTTGTAGTGTTCTCTTTAAAGACAACAAATTTGTTTATTGTTATTTTTAAGTCTTCTGTGATCTTCCTTTTTTTTCTGCTCATTTTATCAATTAACAAAAGAGACGTGTTAAAATTTTCCACTGTGACTGTAAATATGACCATTTTCCTTTGTTCTGTAAATTTTCTGTTGTATATTTTGAAGCTATGTTACTAGGCACATGCAAATACAAATTTTCCTATCTTCCTGGCAAATTAAACCTTTTATGAAATGACTCTCACTATCGTTAGGGATGTTTTTTTTTTTTGCCCCAAAGATAGCTTTCTTTCTGTTTACATAT